AAACAGGTCTCTGTATTTCTGGTCTTCTCAAAACCCATAATGTGCTAATATACACCACAACTCCAAAGAGAAGATAGAAAAATACAGTATTTCCTAGACTTATTTGATTCTGGAACTCTTCCCACACAGCATGCTGTAAACTAATGTTTGACAGGGTCCCTTTGGCACCGTGCTGACAGCCATCAGTGGAAAGAACACTTAGAAGATGCAAAGGAGAGGACTCACCCATTCTTGTCCTGGGCAGCCCTGGTTCTCTGGTTGCTGCATATTTGTTAATTTTTAACTCATTCAAACGTCTATGCTGGGCCTGCTGTGTGCCAGGCTCTGTGCCAAACATGATGTCGACAAATCTCTGAGAGATGAAAAATACTGTTTTCCAAAAACAAATTGCCCTTTCTTTCCCCATATTCCCAATACTTGCCTTTCAGAACATCAGACAGCTAACAGATCACACTCATCTACGTGTGCCTGTTTCATGCTGCTGCTTAGTGGACAAATGACTCCCCTCAACCTTGGGACATATTATAAGCCAGTTGCCAGCCAATATCCCTCCCCATCACAGACCCATGACCTGCCCCCTCTCCAGGCCTGAGACTCAGAGACGGACTCGGAGAGCAGAACAGACAACGGGGCAGCTTGGACGGTGTAGGTATAATTCTGTTGGCAAGTCGAACTGAAACATGATGAACTTTTGATGTTGTTTCCAACTCCAGGATTCCAAGAACATAAAAGGAACGCAGTGATGATTAAGGAAAAGTAACTGTCATCACCCAGCACAGAAAAGACAGAGGAAACATCCTTCCAATGCCAGGCAACATGTATTCATTTACCTCTCAATCTTCAGTGACTGAAATCAAAGAATTTGTTCAACTGTCAGAAACCGTGATGTTTTCTGTGCTTTCTGTTCTGGCATCATTTAGCCATTTCCCTGATCACAACCTCCCACCAGAGAGGGTGGGTAGGGTCAGTAGATCAAATTCAAATGTATAAAGCCACTCCTTGTTAGAAGCCTTGGCAAAAGATTTGATAGCAAAGGAGCCTTAAACACAAGGTTACAATAAAGATGGATTTAGGATAATTTAAGCACTTCAATTATCCATGCTCTCTCTATCATTGACCCAGAGGTAGCTAGAGATGTATTCCATCTAACAATAAAGAGTAACAGAGTAAGATTTATAACCCTTTTCTCTAGGCCAATATATTTTGAGAATTTTCCTTTAGGCATTACTGTACACCCTGATATCAAAGGACTAGAAATGATAGAGAAATGTAAAACCAATGTTGTGCAGAATGATCTAATTTTATATATCTACACAGTGTTAGTCCTTTTTAAATTTGAGGTTCTCAAAAGTCAGAGTGGTAACCAGCTTTGAGAAAAAAGTTCCACTTATGGATTAAAAAAACACGCTCCTGGCTATAATAGGATAAGTGGCAGTTGACCTATCCTTTCACGAACTCTCCCGCTGGTAGGTATCAGATGTTGGAAGTATCCATCAAGATTAGATCCAGGGAAGAAGCAAAGGCAGAGATATCAAGTTTGAGAAAAGACAGACATCCAACCTGTTCCTGCTTTGCCTCCCAGAAGAGCTAGTCTCCACTGTCTCCACGGACATGGATTCTGCTTCTGCAACATCTCCTGAACCCAGGCCTTTCCTGCCCCCACCTTCACCCCATCACCACGTCCGTCCAGAGCTTAGCCTCCTACCTGTGGACCCTGGCATGTCCCACTCATGGTTTTTCTTACTCCCACCTCCTTTCTCCTCAATCGATCCTATTTAATTCTCTTAAGTCTTTTTTTCTTAGTAAAATTCCACCATCTCTATGGCTCAGAAAAGGATCAATGGCTTATCATTATGTTAAAGTTCATCTTTGAGCTTGGCATTTCAGACTCTTCAAAATCTGGTTCCAACCTACCTTTCAAGTCTATGGTAGTTTTAGCCAGGACATGGTACCCGATACTTAATAAGCATTTCTTGGATGGATGGATGGATGGATCAATGTGAGGACTATGCTGTAACCTGAAACCTGTTCCAATTTATCTGCTTTACTTATTCTTCTTGGAAAAGGGCCTTTTCTTTCCCACTTGTGTGTGGCTTTGGTATAAATTTTTTTCTTTCCCATTAGGTATTCCCTCCTACTAACTCTTTGGCTATTCAGATCCCTCCTATGACTCAAGGCTCAGTTGAAGAGCCAAGCCCTACCTTCTCTACCCACTCCAATCCAGAGCGACTCACCTTTGCTCTGAATCCCCAGTCATCATTCAATACATGTTTATTAGACACCTACTATTTGCCAGCCACCGTGCTAGGCCTTGAGAATACGGCTGCCCTCATCCTTCACCTCTTCATTTCCAGCACATATGTGCACAGACTCACACACCAAAGATCCTAACACACTATTGTGAATTAGTATTTCAGCAGAGAGTAACCTGCATTACCTCCTAGTGGTGTGTCGTGGGTCTGGAGTCATGTGGCTGGGTGGTGGATCTTGATCTGTCAT